CCCCCCCCCCCCCCCCCCCCCCGCCCCCGGACTACCCCTCTACCCCGGGCTGGAGTCCTCTTCGTCCGTAACCGAATCACGACCGAGGCGCTAATTACAAATTTATTTCAAACCTACAATCGGCGACAAAATTGTTGAGACACACCCCTCCCACCACACCCCTCCCCTGTCCCCTCCATTCAAAGTTGGAATGTTTGTTGTTTTCTAAAGATTCTTAAGATAGCTCGGACATTGGCACAACATTGTATGGAACGCTGGAATCTTCAAACCTCAATTGACCCTCGTCGATACCTGCAGCAAAAATCAGCCAAAAAAAAACAAAGATGGAAGCAAGATGCTTTTGAAGATACAGTCAAACCTTTATATAACGCCCCTGTATATAGCGGTCACCCTGAATATTACGGTCACCAGACAACTTCCCGAAATTTTCAGTTGTCTTATATCTTCTGTATCTAAGCTATATCTTCTATATCACCTTGCCATTTCCCAAGGGTGACCTTTGTACACCGGTTTGACTGTAAACTCTAAAGGTTGTGAGGTTCATTCCTTGAAGTGTCCTGGAGGATAAGCTCACTTTTATCACCTCATAACACAAACTAACAATGTTTTATTTCTGCGTACGTACTCTGAGCGGTTTTTGATGCGCATCGATATCCTGTTGCCTTGATTTTGAATCCAAGTCGAAATGTTTTCCAGCCATATTTTATACCGCAGTTTTTAATATAAATGTTCGTCACGTTCGAGACATTAACATCTTTTGCAGCAGTGGAGATGTCAAAATTGGACCATCGAAACCAATAAAACTTCTTATAGCAAAGCTTCCTCCAATCTGAAGTCTCGTTAAAGCAAAAAGCTATGAGAGAACACCATATTTCGAAAGGCATTTGCGTATTTTTGAGTCTCTTTTGTAGTAATAGTAATAGTAAGGAACATGACATTCCATGGCGTAATAAGGACCAGACGTTCCATCCGCAAGTGATTGACAGTTTCCTTCTTCAAGTTCTTCGGCTTGCAACAAGCAATACCCTCCTATGTCAACAAGAAAAACCAAACAAAATTTAACGGATGTTACTAAAACTGGAAACGGTGTGCGGGAACGAGTACGAGGAACGGGAAAATGAAAAATCGGAGCAAAAAGAGAATTGGAAATGAAAGATTAGCGTTCAATTTGAGTTTTGTTCGCATTTTTCATTTTTCCCATTCGCCAGTGCTCGTTCCCCGTTTTAGTAACATTCAAATTTAGCACAGGGCTTTTGTTTTGTTTCGTTTTGTTTTTTTGTTGTTGTTGTTGTTTTGGAGCCAATCGTTGTGCTTTATCTACCTGAGCAGCCTCTTCCTCGGGCGCTTCGTTTTTCGCACTGCACAGAGGCGAGCGCGAAACGCGAGTGACTGGTAGCGAAGCGTAAGGGACTATGGGAAGGTGTCTCGCCCGTTTTCTCACTCCCGCCTTCCGTTGCGCGCAAATTTTCATCAAGAGAGAGACGTCTGGGTACAAGGCAGCTGCCTGTGCAAGATTTGATTCAAACCTATAACCCCACTGTGTTCATAATAAAACCGCAAATAAATTTACAGAACATTGGCCAAGGAATTAATTAGCAGCTGCTGAAGGGAAGAGTTTCTGAATTAAAAGTGTTTTTAAAACAAATCGGACAAAAACCTTGCATCGAAGAAGGGCATTCGCAATCAGCCAACTACCTCCTTTCGCTAGAACGTTCGAGTTTATTTTGTTGTTGGTTTTGTTGTTGTTGTTTGTTGTTGTTGTGTTGGAACAATTTACGCCAAAAGCAAGAAAAAAGTGTTAAGCCTGATACCTTATGTGCCCAATAGTCCTCCCTTGTTAAGTTACATTTTGATCGACTGGAAACAGCTACGTGCAGACAGGATTAACCTCAATTCCTTGTAAGGTCTCCAATTTGGTTTTAATGTTTTAAACAAGAAGTGCCAGCATTAAGATTACGAAAAGAGCCGCGTCGTTTGTTTAATTTTAATATCTTATTCAAATTAATTGTTTGCTTCGGGAAAAATTTTCTAATTTCTGTCTTTATGCTGATTGCAAAGTCTGAGAAATAATTGTTCGCTCGACAATTATGCCATGGAAATATGCACAAATAAAACTACCGAAACTTATTAATTCTACTATATTTAAAAACCATTTTTTTCTTAAAGCTAAAAGTAATGACCAATATAGAGCTTGTCGGTTCTATACTGTAAAACAAAGATGTGGAGGAAAAAGGTTAATATCAGGTTTATTTCGATAACATTCGGCGGTTCGAGATATTAGAACTCTCGAAATCTTTTTAATTTAAATTGAACTTTTGACGTAAGGGTGATGATGCATTTTTTGAGTGGTAGATATGGTTAATTACTCTGGCCACCTGCTGGCACAAAAGAACTTCCTAGGGTATTTCTTTTAAGAGAGTGTATAACTTACCTTCTACAGCATTTCCGAAAGAAAGAACTGCGAAGTATATGTAATAAGAGAAATACATATGGTTTAATTAAAACAGTTGTCTTTAATTTGGCAGAAATAAATTATTGTCGTAAGATCTTACACACGGAAAGCGCAGATAGTTACAAAATTCGCATGGGAATCAGATGTAGAAATGCGACGCTAAAGGGCCCAAAGTAGTAATGCTGGTCAGTATTACTACTGCCAAAAAAAAACATTGAAGATAATTCTTCAATTACCGGCGTCGTCTCTGCAGTTTAGTTTGAAAATTTCGGCGCTAGCACGTATGAAAGTCAGAATGAAAATAACCTTTTAACTGCTTCTAAAACGATTCTTATCAATGACATTGTCAACAGCGGGGTGTTACAAACCACTCTTATCTTGAAGGACAATGGATTTAGTAATATATTGCCTCGCTGTTTCATAATTCCTCCGGTAATTTGAAACTTTCTTTAATTTTAAGTAAAGAATGTTAGAAAATAAAATATAATATAAAAAGCGTGGGTAAGAAATACTTTTTATTACAAATGCCATGCAAAAGGAAGCAAAAGAAAAGAATAAAGTTCGCTACGCTTTTTTGAAGAAGTGTCGTATTGGTAATTCATGGGTAGAAGTAACCAAAAACTACTCAATGTAAAATTATTGCATCATACTCACTCAAAACAAGCCCAATGATTATTGTTCCATTTGCAGTTTCATCGTCAAGGAAGGACAGATTCAGCTCAGATTTTTTCGTACGTGGATTCATCATTTAACCTGGATGAGTAATATAATAAACCTTTTTGAACGAGGAATGTAAGAAATTTCCTTCTTTCATCGATTAATTGATTCGAGGTGTTAATAACAAAGCCAATTGTTAAGTAGCCCAGTCTTCGCCAGTACTTGCCTTTCGTATCACCCAGATGGCAATCAAGTTATTGTCTTGTCATGCCTGTATGTTGACTTTGCCAGCTGTTGTTATGGAAACCATGTTGAAAGGAAAATAAAATAATTAAGTACCGTACCAAATATGGTTTTGGCTAACATATACATTTAAATGAGAAATTAAAAACCCATATTAGTTGAATATTTCTCCAAAAAGCCTAATTTACTAAATTACACCTTGGTTCGTAGCATTGTGTTGGTTTTCATTTCAATTGTTCTCAGTTATAGTAAGAAAAACCACGACAAAAAATTAAGTTGTGTTATTTATTTCCTAGGGTTCGTGGCAGGTGTGATTCAAGTACCTGTGTGATGTGAATAATTAACGTTGGCTCTAAAGAGAAGAAGAAAAATAAATGTACTGCAGTTGGATACGCCTTACTGCCTGATGCAGTATAGAGAATTCTTGTGTGAATGACAAAATCAACGATGTCAGCAAGAGAATTGAAGAAGCAAACGTTGAAAGCAATTTACATGAGTAAATAAATGAATGGTCCAAAAAGGTTTTCAAAGAAAAGGTGATGCCAATAGAAGTTAAAGAAAAGAAAAAATCACTCTCACTCTAAAGTTTACAAAATGATGGTCATTAGACGTGGAAAGAAGTCATTTAAAAAGCATGAAAATCGTGCGTTATGACCATTAACAAACTTTAATCAGCGAACGACCTAAAAAGTAAAGACGAATTTAATAGAACAACTTAAACAGATTTCATTCAGTTTCATTTCTCAAAACTGTTTTTTGTTTACTTTAAGACAAAATCCATTAGGAAATTGAGAAATGTTAATTTTCAGTGGACAGAAACCTTTTACCAGAATAACTTCAAGCATATTGCATTCTTTTTCACTCTTTTTAAGGGCTATAAATGTAGTAAGTTGTATGAAATAACTCCGAAGAAAAGATTCTAATTGGAGCCCTCTGAAAATTAAAATTATTCAATTTCTTAATGGATTCTGTCTTAACACTTTCAGCTGGTCGCAATAGGCCAGGAGACGCTTTCAGTCTAAATAGAGTTTTAGAAAGTAACTTCCGAGCAATGAGCGCTCGAGAATTTCTAGATTTATTGTAATTATTGTAAAACTGTATGTTGTCGCAAAGCAGTGTATATAGCCTCATGTAAGGTAAATCGGATTCCGGAATCTGAGAAATTTTGACTGTGAAATCTGGAATCCTGGGCTTTGGAATCCGGATTCCCGCTGACAATTGAGATGCGGAGTCCAAGTTACACTAAGATAGAATCGAGAATTCAGTACCTGAAATTCGGAATTTCACAAAATTCTACACTTAGAAAGAGAAAAGGTCAAGAAGGGCTTCGAGAAGTCCGCAAATTTTGAAAAAATCGCAAAAGTAAGAAGAATTTTTCCTGCTATGTGAAAAGATTGAGCAACAAATATGGCAAAAATAGC